GAATGAAATGGTGAATGAGTAGATTCCTGAAGTGTTGAATGAGTAGATTCCTGAAATGTTGAATGAAATGTTAAATGAGTAGATTCCTGAAGTGTTGAATGAGTAGATTCCTGAAATGGTGAATGAGTAGATTCATGAAATGTTGAATGAAATGTTGAATGAGTAGATTCCTGAAATGTTGAATGAGTAAATTCCTGAAATGTTGAATGAGTAGATTCCTGAAATGTTGAATGAGTAGATTCCTGAAATGTTGAATGAGTAGATTCCTGAAATGTTGAATGAGTAAATTCCTGAAATGTTGAATGAGTAGATTCCTGAAATGTTGAATGAGTAGATTCCTGAAATGTTGAATGAGTAGATTCCTGAAATGTTAAATGAGTAGATTCCTGAAATGTTAAATGAGTAGATTCCTGAAATGGTGAATGAGTAGATTCCTGAAATGTTGAATGAGTAAATTCCTGAAATGTTGAATGAGTAGATTCCTGAAATGTTGAATGAGTAGATTCCTGAAATGGTGAATGAGTAGATTCCTGAAATGTTGAATGAGTAGATTCCTGAAATGTTGAATGAGTAAATTCCTGAAATGTTGAATGAGTAGATTCCTGAAATGTTGAATGAGTAAATTCCTGAAATGTTGAATGAGTAGATTCCTGAAATGTTGAATGAGTAGATTCCTGAAATGTTGGATGAGTAGATTCCTGAAATGTTGAATGAGTAGATTCCTGAAATGTTGAATGAGTAGATTCCTGAAGTAAAGATTCCTGAAATGTTGGATGAGTAGATTCCTGAAATGTTGAATGAGTAAATTCCTGAAATGTTGAATGAGTAGATTCCTGAAATGTTGAATGAGTAGATTCCTGAAATGTTGAATGAGTAGATTCCTGAAATGGTGAATGAGTAGATTCCTGAAATGTTGAATGAGTAGATTCCTGAAATGTTGAATGAGTAAATTCCTGAAATGTTGAATGAGTAGATTCCTGAAATGTTGAATGAGTAAATTCCTGAAATGTTGAATGAGTAGATTCCTGAAATGTTGAATGAGTAGATTCCTGAAATGTTGGATGAGTAGATTCCTGAAATGTTGAATGAGTAAATTCCTGAAATGTTGAATGAGTAGATTCCTGAAATGTTGAATGAGTAGATTCCTGAAATGTTGAATGAGTAGATTCCTGAAATGTTGAATGAAATGTTGAATGAGTAGATTCCTGAAATGTTGAATGAGTAGATTCCTGAAATGTTGAATGAGTAGATTCCTGAAATGTTGAATGAGTAGATTCCTGAAATGTTGAATGAGTAGATTCCTGAAATGTTGAATGAGTAAATTCCTGAAATGTTGAATGAGTAGATTCCTGAAATGTTAAATGAGTAGATTCCTGAAATGTTAAATGAGTAGATTCCTGAAATGGTGAATGAGTAGATTCCTGAAATGTTGAATGAGTAAATTCCTCAAATGTTGAATGAGTAGATTCCTGAAATGTTGAATGAGTAGATTCCTGAAATGTTGAATGAGTAGATTCCTGAAATGTTGAATGAAATGTTGAATGAGTAGATTCCTGAAATGTTGGATGAGTAGATTCCTGAAATGTTGAATGAGTAGATTCCTGAAATGTTGAATGAGTAGATTCCTGAAATGTTGAATGAGTAAATTCCTGAAGTGTTGAATGAGTAGATTCCTGAAATGTTGAATGAGTAGATTCCTGAAATGTTGAATGAGTAGATTCCTGAAATGTTGAATGAGTAGATTCCTGAAATGTTGAATGAGTAAATTCCTGAAATGTTGAATGAGTAGATTCCTGAAGTGTTGAATGAGTAGATTCCTGAAATGTTGAATGAGTAGATTCCTGAAATGTTGAATGAGTAGATTCCTGAAATGTTGAATGAGTAGATTCCTGAAATGTTGAATGAGCAGATTCCTGAAATGTTGAATGAGTAGATTCCTGAAATGTTGAATGAGCAGATTCCTGAAATGTTGAATGAGTAGATTCCTGAAATGTTGAATGAGTAGATTCCTGAAGTGTTGAATGAGTAGATTCCTGAAGTGTTGAATGAGTAGATTCATGAAATGTTGAATGAAATGTTGAATGAGTAGATTCCTGAAATGTTGAATGAGTAGATTCATGAAATGTTGAATGAAATGTTGAATGAGTAGATTCATGAAAATGTTGAATGAAATGAAATGTTGAATGAGTAGATTCATGAAATGGTGAATGAAATGGTGAATGAGTAGATTCCTGAAGTGTTGAATGAGTAGATTCCTGAAATGTTGAATGAAATGTTAAATGAGTAGATTCCTGAAGTGTTGAATGAGTAGATTCCTGAAATGGTGAATGAGTAGATTCATGAAATGTTGAATGAAATGTTGAATGAGTAGATTCCTGAAATGTTGAATGAGTAAATTCCTGAAATGTTGAATGAGTAGATTCCTGAAATGTTGAATGAGTAGATTCCTGAAATGTTGAATGAGTAGATTCCTGAAATGTTGAATGAGTAAATTCCTGAAATGTTGAATGAGTAGATTCCTGAAATGTTGAATGAGTAGATTCCTGAAATGTTGAATGAGTAGATTCCTGAAATGTTAAATGAGTAGATTCCTGAAATGTTAAATGAGTAGATTCCTGAAATGGTGAATGAGTAGATTCCTGAAATGTTGAATGAGTAAATTCCTGAAATGTTGAATGAGTAGATTCCTGAAATGTTGAATGAGTAGATTCCTGAAATGGTGAATGAGTAGATTCCTGAAATGTTGAATGAGTAGATTCCTGAAATGTTGAATGAGTAAATTCCTGAAATGTTGAATGAGTAGATTCCTGAAATGTTGAATGAGTAAATTCCTGAAATGTTGAATGAGTAGATTCCTGAAATGTTGAATGAGTAGATTCCTGAAATGTTGGATGAGTAGATTCCTGAAATGTTGAATGAGTAGATTCCTGAAATGTTGAATGAGTAGATTCCTGAAGTAAAGATTCCTGAAATGTTGGATGAGTAGATTCCTGAAATGTTGAATGAGTAAATTCCTGAAATGTTGAATGAGTAGATTCCTGAAATGTTGAATGAGTAGATTCCTGAAATGTTGAATGAGTAGATTCCTGAAGTGTTGAATGAGTAGATTCCTGAAATGTTGAATGAGTAGATTCCTGAAATGTTGAATGAAATGTTGAATGAGTAGATTCCTGAAATGTTGGATGAGTAGATTCCTGAAATGTTGAATGAGCAGAATCCTGAAATGTTGAATGAGTAGATTCCTGAAATGTTGAATGAGTAGATTCCTGAAATGTTGAATGAAATGTTGAATGAGTAGATTCCTGAAATGTTGGATGAGTAGATTCCTGAAATGTTGAATGAGTAGATTCCTGAAATGTTGAATGAGTAGATTCCTGAAATGTTGAATGAGTAGATTCCTGAAGTGTTGAATGAGTAAATTCCTGAAATGTTGAATGAGTAGATTCCTGAAATGTTGAATGAAATGTTGAATGAGTAGATTCCTGAAATGTTGAATGAAATGTTGAATGAGTAGATTCCTGAAGTGTTGGATGAGTAGATTCCTGAAATGTTGAATGAGCAGATTCCTGAAATGTTGAATGAGTAGATTCCTGAAGTGTTGAATGAGTAGATTCCTGAAATGTTGAATGAGTAGATTCCTGAAATGTTGAATGAAATGTTGAATGAGTAGATTCCTGAAATGTTGAATGAGCAGATTCCTGAAATGTTGAATGAGTAGATTCCTGAAATGTTGGATGAGTAGATTCCTGAAATGTTGAATGAAATGTTGAATGAGTAGATTCCTGAAATGTTGAATGAGTAGATTCCTGAAATGTTGAATGAGTAGATTCCTGAAATGTTGAATGAGTAGATTCCTGAAATGTTGAATGAGTAGATTCCTGAAATGTTGAATGAGTAGATTCCTGAAATGTTGAATGAGTAGATTCCTGAAATGTTGGATGAGTAGATTCCTGAAATGTTAAATGAAATGTTGAATGAGTAGATTCCTGAAATGTTGAATGAGTAGATTCCTGAAATGTTGGATGAGTAGATTCCTGAAATGTTGAATGAAATGTTGAATGAGTAGATTCCTGAAATGTTGAATGAGTAGATTCCTGAAATGTTGAATGAGTAGATTCCTGAAATGTTGAATGAGTAGATTCCTGAAATGTTGAATGAGTAGATTCCTGAAATGTTGGATGAGTAGATTCCTGAAATGTTGGATGAGTAGATTCCTGAAATGTTGAATGAGTAGATTCCTGAAATGTTGAATGAGTAGATTCCTGAAATGTTGAATGAGTAGATTCCTGAAATGTTGGATGAGTAGAGGCAGGAGATGCTGAACGGTTTATGAAGGAATGTTCAGGAGAAGTTGAACAGGCGTAGTTCAAGACCTTTAAAGGGGTATGAGCTATTGGATGGGTATAATCGAGACTCAGACTCGACATTCAATGATGATTCCATAAAGTTCAGATGTTTATTTCCAACTAAGACATAGTCGTTGTTAATAATGCAATGACAGGAAGAGTATGAAGAGGTGTGTGTGTGTGTGTGTGTGTGCGCGCGCGCGTGCGTGTGTGTGCGTGCGTGTGTGTGTGTGTGTGTGTGTGTTGAGAGACTTTAAATTTACCTTCAAATTGATAAATCTTTACTTATAAATCTCATAGGTGGCCTATCGTACATTAGTAAAAGTTACTAAATTTAATCAGTAATAATCACTGACTAGATTTCAGAAAAACAGCTGGTTTAAGTTGTGAATTATCATTGATATTTACTGGACTTCAAATGATGTACTGACTACAATGGTGTCTTAACTAAGCTTGTACAACGTTCCACTACACTTTAATGAAGGTTCGTTCAACAACTGCTGTGGGAAGCTAAACTGGTTGGGTGGGGTTGCAACAACATTGATCAAATCCACTGGTACTGCTATGATTGAAAATCAATTATACTCTCTAAAATCAGAAAACGAAAGGTTGTGATTAATAGTTTATGAATGTATGCATGTTTTATATTTTCAGAACAGCCTCCGAGCGGATCTTACGGATGCCGATGGGAATACAGGTCTGATGTACGCATGCGCGCTTGGCCATATTGACATTGTCAAGGTCATCATTGATTATCACAAAAAAGGTCACATCAGCCTTGACCTTTTGAAGAAGAACTATGATGGAATGGGGGCATTGGAACATGCAGCTCAAGGAGGCCATCTTGACGTAGTGAAAATAATCTCTGGTTGTACAAAGGACCCAGATTCCAATCAGGAAACTTCCAACATGGCGACCGATTTCGAATGGGCTGAAGAACAAGCACCAAATCCGACCCCTACCAATCACAAATGGCAGTCAATGAATGAAAAGATGCACCAGTTTATACAGGAAGTTCAAGATGCATCGGTGGAAGAATCGTCCGACAAGATCACGCCGTCACCGTGCGCTGGATTACCTCCCCCTGATGTCATCATCACTGGCGAGGAATATGTTCAGAATGCAGCTAACAAACTTTCGGAAGAGAACAGCAAGCGGCCAACCAATCACCCTGTTGCGCCGTTGACGTCACCAAGATCGCCTTCTGTCAATCGTCGTCTGAAGTCTGCCGTCAGAAGAACCGCGGAACAGCTCAGTGATGAAGAGACGGAACTTAGTCTAGCAAGTCTGGGAGAGCTGGTTACAACTGTAAGAGAGTGTGCGAGGGAGATCAGAGAGATTTGTCATCACCCTGACAAAGATGAGAAAGCAAAGCAGTCCAAAAAAGAAAAAGGGGTCGGTAAGAAGGTAAAAAGTGAAAAATTCAAAATGGCTGATGTTGACAACGCTGATCTGAAGCGGAGACGAGCATCGGGGCCTGGGTTTCCAAGCAAAGACAGAAATCAGCCTGAACTGGATACTGACGTGGCCCTAAACCAGACCTGGCCCAAGAGGAGTCTCTCCTCTCTGAATGTCCGACTCTCTGCCTCCAACACATCATTGAACAGGGAGGATACAGGGAATAGATCACCATCCCCCACTGGGATGCAGCCCAGCGGCGAGTTCCATGACAAAACTCTTCTTCAAGAAAAGCATATCCTCGACAAGGTATTCTGTCGACTGAATAATTCCAAGGTTATATGGGGTGGAGACCCCCCTCCTCGAGAAACCAGCTCGAGGGAGCGACCATCCAAAGCCACAATGATGGTTCGGGATCAGTTCTCTTCTTATGGAGACCCGTTGCCCGGGATACATCGCAGCACCGGGTGTCTCCCGCCTGTCCGAGATGGAGGGAGGCTCCGGCAGGTGGTCCACAGACATGTGCATATCAAAGAGCCCGGGGGGCCCGGTCCGGAAAAAGAAGATTCCGTAGAAGGGTCGTGCTCAGACAGGGGGAAGGAGGAGGGGGAGGAGGAGATTATGGATGTGTGAAACAGATTCTTTTGTTGTTATTTTTTACTTTTTATACTTCGAATTCATCTCTCCCATTTGGGGAATGTTTGGCCGTTTTAGGGAGGAGTATCTATTGTATTATTTAGCGTCTCCACCATGACGGGCGCTTTGGTAAAACAACACAGTAATTACCGCGTGGGCGCTTAAAACTCACTGTGTTACGGGAATGCATGCTTTGGATCACACTTTGAATGTATTATTCAAGGATGGATTGTGACTGAAACATTTTATGCTTTATTTATGAGCCCATTTAACCAAAGATTTCAATTAATTCTATTCTCTTGAACATGTAACCTAATTGTTACCACCGCGTGTTTATTGCATGACTTTTAAGGGTGACCTTGACCATAAACAGCTTGCACCAACAAACCGTGTTTGGTTTGGTATTGGTGGTGGCATAAACAGTTCAATAAAGTTTTCGTTGGTCGTGATATGGAGACTGCCGCTGAAAAAGAATATCGACATCGGCGCTGAGATTAGGGCGTCCTTGGACACTAACCCAACTTATCCGTTTATTTGTTCCAACGATCGAACTATTTTGTGTGAACACGATTGGATCTCAACGTGTAATAACGATCAAACACAGGATCAGTCGGTTGTTATCGATCACCTGTTTCCTCCCACACTTGAATCACGATCGCCTTGAAGGCGGGATATGTTTTTATATTTCTGTGATATTTCTTGTTACATTGGCCAGAGTAAATGTTATCTGTGTTTTAACCTGCTTTTCACGTTTGTGTTTGTTTTTCACATGCAACCTTCGTTGTTATTGTCGGCGGTTTGGTAGCCTATAGTCCGTTTGGCTCAAAAGCGGACCGATGAATTGCAATCTCACTCGAAAACTAATAAACATAAAATACTCAATGAAACACTGATCATAATAAAAACGTCAGACCAACTCTGAGAGGTGTTTGCAGAATAAAAAAGTTCTTTAACAAACTATCATTACAATATTGACACAGTTCACTATTTTGCACGAGGGAGGAGTGCAGAGAAAGGGACAGCCAGATGTGCGAGAAAGGATGGAGACGGCACAGCACAGGTTAATGAATCAATAACTTTGTCGGCACTTGTGCAGGTGCTTCTCTAACACCTGGCTGTCCCTTTCTCTGCACTCCTCCCTCGTAACAAATAGTGAACTGTGTCAATATTTTAATGATAGTTTGTTAAACAACTTTTTAAATTTTAGGACATAAATTCTGCAAACAAATCACAGAGTTGGTCTGATATTTTGATTATGATCAGCGTTTCATTGAGTATTATATGTTTATTAGTTTTTGAGTTAGATTGCAATTCATCGGTCCGCTTTTGAGCCAAACGCACTATAGTGGTTAAGGTGTTCGCTTGTCACGCCGAAGACCCGGGTTCGATTCCCCACGTGGGTACAGTGTGTGAAGCTCATTTCTGGTGTCCCCCGCCGTGATATTGCTGTAATATTGCTAAAAGCGGCGTAACTAAACTCACTCACTCATTATTATTGGTAGAAAATACCAAACATGATTTTTCATTGTCTCGATTGTCATCATCTTATCAAAATGAGATCTTACTGCTCACTACGTCAACACCAAAGATCTGAGGGTATCCATTACAGGTCACAGGCCACGTCCGGGCGACCTTTCTCTTTTGTGTCTAGTTTCTAAATCTTGACTTCCCAATTAAGAAAAGCCCCACATTATTGAGGACGAGAGGCAATTCTGTGTAATAGTTTCCGAGATATTTTCCGAAGTAGAAGGTAGTATCGAGTGCCATTGGGAATTGTTTATCCAAATGAAGCGAAATATAGATTGTGTCTACTATTCAGAATTAGTCGTACAACCCGTAACTGTTATTCGGAATGCCCCCTCGTTAACCTTTTTGTATGTTATGATAATACATCCGTACTTTTACATTCCCAGTCTTGTTGGCGACGCTGTGATTGGTCGAATGTGAGGACGTTCTGATATGACTTGCAATGACGTGTTCTACAGCAGGTGGTAATAAGGTAACACTTACCTCATTGATTCGTGGCAAGTTTGTTTCGCAACTATTTCATAACTATCAACCCGTGATTGATCTTCAGTAACCCATGCTTGTCTCCCCGTGAAGGTCCGGGTTAGAATTGATCTTCAGTAACCCATGCTGTCTCCCCGTGAAGATCCGGGTTAGAATTGATCTTCAGTAACCCATGCTTGTCTCCCCGTGAAGGTCCGGGTTAGAATTGATCTTCAGTAACCCATGCTGTCTCCCCGTGAAGGTCCGGTAAGAATTGATCTTCAGTAACCAATGTTGTCTCCCCGTGAAGATCCGGGTTAGAATTGATCTTCAGTAACCCATGCTGTCTCCCCGTGAAGGTCCGGTAAGAATTGATCTTCAGTAACCCATGCTGTCTCCCCGTGAAGATCCGGGTTAGAATTGATCTTCAGTAACCCATGTTATCTCCCCGTGAAGATCCGGGTTAGAATTGATCTTCAGTAACCCATGTTGTCTCCCCGTGAAGATCCGGGTTAGAATTGATCTTCAGTAACCCATGCTGTCTCCCCGTGAAGGTCCGGTAAGAATTGATCTTCAGTAACCCATGCTGTCTCCCCGTGAAGATCCGGGTTAGAATTGATCTTCAGTAACCCATGTTATCTCCCCGTGAAGATCCGGGTTAGAATTGATCTTCAGTAACCCATGTTGTCTCCCCGTGAAGATCCGGGTTAGAATTGATCTTCAGTAACCCATGCTTGTCTCCCCGTGAAGATTCGGGTTAGAATTGATCTTCAGTAACCAATGCGTGTCTCCCCGTGAACATCCGGGTTAGAATTGATCTTCAGTAACCCATGCGTGTCTCCCCGTGAAGATTCGGGTTAGAATTGATCTGCAGTAACCCATGCTGGTCGCAAGAGACCACTAACGGGATCGGGTGCTCAAGCTCGCTGACTTGGTTGACACATGTCATCGTATCCCAATTGCGTAGATCGATCCTCATGATGTTGATCACTGGATTCTCTGGTCCTGATGCCTCTACTTACTGACCACCGCATATAGCTGGGATATTGCTGAGTGCGGCGTTGAACAACAAACACGCAAACAAACAAATCATAGCTTCACCGTGAGACCGATTCAAAGACAAAGACTGCAGCATGAATTGTTGGGCTATGAAAACGATGGATTTCATTTGCCGTCATCACAATTGTACAGCAAATGAAAAGTGAAAACCTGAAACAAATTACAGAAGCTCAGCTCAACAACGCCATCGGCCAACTGCAGACAGGCGACTCGTAGCCAGGTTTTCCACGCATTGTTCAGCAAGACCATGAAACCGTTATCAGACACAAGGGTCAAGACGTGACCCACCAATATCCGGTCGACCGTTCGGGGCATCTGCAGGACTGGCTCAAGCGGATTCGTCAGCTACGTGATAGATCACAACGGCCAACTCTGCAACTACAGATATACCAGGGTTGCATAGGCATTCCAAGACAGTGGGGAACCGTCTGCCCCAACGACCATTTCTGACTCAACAGTATCGTCTGCTGCGACGTCGTTGGTGTCAAGGACACAGATCATGGCGCAGGTGTGATGATGTGGGCCGCCATCTTCCATACCCGTAGAACAGACTTGGTACACGTTCAGGGCAGTTTAACGGGACAACGTTACACAGACGAAATTCTTCAGCCACACCTTCTTCCCATCATACAACAAGCCAACGCCCGACCTCACACGGCAAGACAGACAACAGCCTTCTTCGGGAACCAGAGCAGGCATGTACTTTTCTTGTCCTCAAAATCTCAGGATCTAAGCCCCATCGGACATTAATGGGATGCTCTTGATCATGCCAGCAACAGCCACAGAACCTCCCAGCACTGCAGGAAGAGTGGATAACAATTCCCCAGGTCACAATTCGTAATCTGATTGGTTCCATGGGGCGACGATACCAGGCAGTTCTGGACTCTCATGGGGCCATACAAGATATTGACACAGATGACCTTCACCTTAATATACGATTGTTTCATGTCTGCCATAATGAACCTCGTTCACTGACAATGACCTGTACCATATCTGAACAATGTCTTATGATCTGGGGCGGTGGGGTAGCCTAGTGGTTAAAGCGTTGGCTCGTCACGCCGAAGACCCGGGTTCGAATCCCCACATGGGTACAATGTGTGAAGCCCATTTCTGGTGTCCCCCGCCGTGATGTAGCTGGAATATTGCCAAAGGCGGCGTAAATCCAAACTCACTCAGTCAGTCAGTCAGTCTTATGATCTGTTGTTTGTTTATATAATACATAAAGCATAACCGACTTTTGCGGTTCTATGTTATTCCGAGTATATAACAGAAAGGCTAATGACGCAAGCAGTCACCTTTTGAAACAGTATATAGACTTTGAAAACGTACTTGTCCCTGTGTGCGGTATCATATACATAAAGACTATGAAAAATTAATTGTTAGAATCGTGTGGATATCTATAAGCCAATGTCTATTTGCCAGTATTTTGAAATGTCACAACAGGTTTTATACATGTTAATACTGCTGAAACAAATATCTGCTCTGCTTTAGTCGCAATTGGCATGAATGTGGAAAGCGTTTTTTGTTGCTTCTATTTATAGCGTTCCATTTCAAAATAATTTGTATGTACAATATTGGAACAAAACTCAGATATCAATATCGGGAGATACCTCATCAACTTCCATCTTGTTTTTACTTACAGACTGACAAGGTCGATACTGACGCGAATGTTAAAAGATATGGAAATGACAATCGCGTTACGAGATATGACATTTTTAATATATAATGTACTGCTTGAACGACTGAAACGTGCTGAAATGTAGCTCTGACATTAATAGTTAAGTATGTGATATTTTCAGACATATTAGATATTGTATTACAAAAATATTAACAAAAGAATATTGCGAAGTTGGGAACGAAACTTCCGATCATGTGACGTATGTGGTGCCCTAAAACCTACAATGGTCTTAAGTGCACAGTAATCATAAATAAACATGAGTGGGCGGAGCTTATGTGACCACGTCATACGTGTTTCGTACGCACTACTTCTTTCTTGAACACGGAAGTGTCTTTACTTCTGCTGAATCATTGTAGGTTTTAGGGCACAACAGACGTATGACTTTGTCAACTTGGATCAAGTTTTCTGACTAGATTGTTATATAATTGGCTAATAACTTACTTTTGTTAAAACACATCAAAAGTTCTAACTGTTATAAATGGCCTTGTTTTCTTTTAAATGATTCAATTGCTGATAGAACAGCCAGGTAGTCAACAAGCGTGTGTTGTGTAATTTCAACGTCACACGTGCAACTCCGACACCTGGCTGTTCTACCAGCAAGTAGTCCCCCCTCGTATAAAATAGCGAAAAGTGACAACAAATTAATGATCGTTTGTTAAACAACTTTTTTATTCGGGTGTCCAAAAATTATGAGACAAATCATCAGAGTTGGTCTGTCGATTTCATGTGACTGTGCAAAATTTGGTTTTGTTGCAATAATTAGGTTTTGTGATAGTCAGCAATTCATCGGTCTCAAATGAAATCAAACACACTGTAAACACCCTACATGGCATGTATTGGAGACGGAAACGGGTCATACAATTATCGGTGATTGTATTAAGGAAAACCCGCCAGTAAGCGGATTATTCCTTCAACAGTGATGTCAGGAGAAATCAATACCCCTGCACTACACGGTTAGACTGTAGTATTTATGTGGGTATTGGAGGTATCGATGAATATTGTTTCCTGAAAACATTAAACTGG